CGGGGAGGGGGCTGCCAGCCCCGCTGCTTGCCCTAAGGGTCTGCGCTGGGTCACCGTGCTCCCCCTCCCCTCGGCAGGACGGTGTTCACTGCTCACCAGCTGGAGGAGCTGGAGAAGGCTTTCAACGAAGCCCACTACCCCGACGTCTACGCCCGGGAGATGCTGGCCGTGAAGACGGAGCTGCCCGAGGGCAGGATACAGGTAGGTGGCTGTGCCGGTCCTCGTACCCCCGGAGCCTGCGGGCTGCTGCCGCCCGGCCGGATCTTCTGCTCTATGGCCAGCAAATGCTGGTGGTGGCAACGTGGTGGCACTGAAATGCTGCAGGGTGCTTGGGTGGCGGGGGCGGCTCAGCTTCGGCCCCCCTGGCACTGAACGGGCTCCAAATGGAAATGCAGAACCAGTGGGCTGAGCTGGCCGTGACCGCTGCTCGCTGCCGGCAGCTCGGCTCTCTCCTCCGGAGACCCAACTCAGGCAGGAGCTGCGAGCGATTCAGGAGCTGCTGGGCCAAGCTGTGTCCCACTAGCTTGCTCACTAGCATGTCCTTTTGAGGGACACCTGGTATTTTAGGGCCTGATCCTGCCCCACTGTGGAGCAGCTCATTGGCTTAAGAACGGGGTGGTAGTGTGGGCGGGCAGCCAGGCTGTACCTACACCCCTTGAGCCTTCGAACGCAGGAAGGGGGTGGGGAGAGGGACCTGAGCACCCTCTGTCATCATCGGTCACTGCATTATGGACCCCTTTTCCTGGTGCTCCGTGCGGAGGCAGCAGAGGGGCCCTGCGGGCAGACGGAGTGTTAGCGTGACTTTGGCTGGGATCACCCTCCTGTGTCACAATCAGCCTCGTGTAACGTGTGCTCCCTCTTCCCCCCTCCCTCCCCTCTCTTGCTGACACCCACGTGTGTGCCCTCCCTCAACCCCCTCCTCACGCACCGCCCTGGCCGCCACCTGTGCGTCTGCACCCTGCGCTCGCACACCCAAACCCCTCCACGCACCCCCGTGGCTGCCCCTTTGCCCTGGACGCACGCTCCCCCGTGCCTGACGGGCCCTGGATACCTGGCTGCGGGGGCCATCTCCTCCCCAATCCCACCCCTCCGTGCTCTCCTGGCTGTTACCCCTGAAGGTTTGGTTTCAGAACCGAAGAGCCAAGTGGCGGAAGCGGGAGAAGTGCTGGGGCCGGAGCAGCGTGATGGCCGAGTACGGCCTCTACGGGGCCATGGTGAGGCACTCCATCCCTCTGCCCGAGTCCATCATCAACTCCGCCAAGAGCGGGCTGGTGGGATCCTGCGCCCCATGGCTGCTGGGTAAGTGGGAGCTTGGGGCTGGGGGGGGTGGGGGGCAGCTGCGGAGCGGGGGGCGCTTCCTCTTTCGTATGGCCGTCCTCGCGTTTTCCCAGAAAAGAACGGGGCCTCGGCCACGAGCTGTACGCAGGCTGCCAAGCGCTCTGGCTTTTCCGCTCCCTTCTTGCAAACAACAGCTGGGAAAGGGAAAACCTTTTACTGCCATGTCAGACAGGTGCCTGCACATGGTTAGGTACAGCTTTCTAGTGCCAGCAGCCAGCGTGGGAGCTGCAGGGCATCTAGGAAGTCATCACCCTCCCCCCAAAACTGAAGATAATGTTAATGCTACCTCAGAGCTACCCTCTGCTCATGCACGGTCCTACACTGAGGTGGCACTCGAAATCCAGGCTGGGATGGGCCATCACAGTGCTCTGTAAGTCTTCCCCACTGCAGGGGAGGTACAGCCCAAAGCTGCTGCAAGCCATCCTGTTGGGCTGCAGAGAGCAGCTGGCAGGGCTCCGGGTTGGGAAGGGCTGGTAGCTAGCATGAGTTTTCCTCAGGATGCAAGCGAGAGCTGAAGGAAGCAGCGGGAGGGCAGGAGGTGATGCTGAGCAGTCCCAGGCAGAAATAAGCAACCGGCGCCCTTGGCTTTGCTCTCTCCCCTCTGCAAGGCATGCACAAAAAGTCCATGGAGGTGAGCAGGAAGGCGGAGAGCCAAGAGAAGCTGGCAGATGGCTGGCGAGCAGAGCAGGAGGAGGAGGAACTCAAAGGGAAGCCGGCCAGTTCCCAGAGGGGCTCTGACAAGCTTGGCCCTGCAAAAGATTCAGAGGACACAGCCATCGACCTCTCCAGGACAGCTAAGCACGAGAAGAGGGGTGTATTGAGGCAGTGCATCAACGGGGACCCCCCCACGGAGCAGAAGGACAGGGACCACTGAGCTTGGGCTGCCCCGGAGAAGGCCAGACCTCACAGCTTCCTGGCGAGATAATAGTATTTATTGATTTATTGATATATATATTTTTTTCTTAAATAATTGAACTTTTATCTGAATTCAGGGCATTTTAAAACTGGGCACACGCATCCCCTTGTCCCCTCACTTTCAAGCTGTTCACTTCTCAGCAGAGCCAGGGCGGAGGGTAGGAGAGGTGTCCCAGCGGGGCCAGGAGCAGTGCGAAAACAAGACCGCGTTGTGGTCAGCATGGACCATTGCTGGGGAAGAGCCACCCTTCCCCTCTGGGCTGTGAACACTTCCCCGGCCAGCCAGCAGCACAAAGAGCAGCAATGCGATGGGAGTCGCTCCCTTCTCAAGCGTGTGGGTGCAAAGACGGTGCAGGAGTTTACAGACGCCTTCTCCGAGCACTTCCATCCCTGCACAGCGCCCGCGTAGCAAGTTCCTCCGCTTTGAACACACAGTTCGTCCACCTCGAGGAGCAGCAGGGTTTTTAAACACGGTAGGGTTCATCCTCAAGCTGGTGTAACCTCACAGATGCACTGGTTTATACCTCCTGAGGATCTGGCCTGCCAATGCAGCCTTATCACTGGATTTACACTGTGTAGCTTCCTTAACTCATATGTGGGAGAAGGGGGTGAAGACATTTTTGTTTATGCAATGATTTTGTACACTCTTGAATGTTATCTTCCCTACTATGCATAATAGAACAGACCTTTTTGAAAACCAAGCCATAGTACCCCGGAGCAATTAAACAATTTTGTGAATTGACATAAGAAGATATTTTGTAATTGTCCGTAAAAAGTGTTAATGTCAGAGCTGTTTCTTGGTCGTCCTATATTTATGTCTAAAAGCACTTTAGTGATCTGGATTTTTGAATGTGGCTCTTCCTGTTTTGTCCACCATTTATTTATTACACGTCCATAAATAAAATTGTGGTGTATCTTTGGTTTTCATGCTTTGCATTGCAGTTTGTACCTTCCTTTGGCACAGCTTGTGGTAGTTGCTAGCTTTGAGCAGATCCTCCACAGACTCGTGCCTAAACTGGGCTGGAATGCTCTGCTGAGGCAGTGCAGTTGTTCCAAGGGGGCAAGGCAAAGCCCTTGAGTGTCTCCCCAGAACTAAGGGCTCGTCCAGTGGTCTCCGCATGCCAGAAGGTGAGTGATTTGCGCCAAAGAGGCAAACCATGACTGATGGGTTAGGAGATGGTCTGAAACGGAGCACTCGGCCAGTTCCTGAGGGAACTCACGGGCAGAAAGTTGCTCCATTCTCCCAAGGGTTGTTGAAAATCCTTCTCGATACAGCTCAAGTGTGAGGTTCTTCACTGAAATGTCTCCTGCCCTGACGGCAGGAAAGACGCTCTGCTTCTCGAGCCTCTGTGCGGTGCTCTCCTCCTCCTGCTGATCCTGCTGCTTTAGAGGGTGCAGAGTTTGGCCCCGTGTCCCCACGTCTCTTGTGGTTAAATACAAGGAGCATCTGCTCACTTGGACTAGGTGAACGCACAGTGGGAGGTACTGCTGGGGGCACCTCTGCCTCCCGGGGACGCACACAGAGCAGCCGCGTGGTCCCAACCGCACAAGCACCCCCAGCGAGGCGGAAGGGTGCCGTGGCCATCTAACTGCCCGACTCCTGGCTGCGAGGGGTCCTCATCTCATGGCTGGGCTGACCTGGCCCACACACATGCCACCACAGCTCTCCTGGAACGCCTCCAGTTTCATCTGCTGGCCAAAACATAACGGAAAATTATCAAAAGGTTTTATTAAAATCTGAGTAATTCCAATTTGGAAAGTTTCCTAATACAGCTCAGGGGGTGTGCGGCCATGTCACGATGCTGTCACCTGTCTCCACCCCTGCTGCTGGGCCTGGCTCCTTGCACACAGGCAGCCACAGGCTGTGCTGGGCTGGGGGGAGAGCGGTGGGACGCCGGCTGGGTAGAGCAGAGCAATAAAAGTGGCATCTGCAGATTTCCTGCCTTTCTCCTCCTCTGCTTGGCCCAGCTGGGCAGGGGGGAACATATGCATGGCAAATACAAGCTTTGCAGAAAAAAAAAAACGTTTGACGGGGGGGCTGTGGGGAGCACGGTTCAGGGAAGGACCAGCCAGGGCTTATTGCAGCAGCAATTAGGCTTGCTGAGAGCCGAGACTTAGCACATTGGAGGTCTAATCCTGCCTGCAAACCTTTTATTTGGGCTGTGCCATGCTGGCACTGGATGCCTGCAATCATTTTTTTTTTGCCCTGCCCACGTGCAGATGGGCTGGCTCTTCGCCTTATGCTGTGTGCAGAACCGCAAGGGCAAGCACATCACCGCCACAACTGCTATGAGGGGAAACACCACAGCCCCAGCCCCACACAGGGTGCAGACAAGTCTCCTGGTAGGGCCTGGTGGGGTCCCAGCTCTCACCTCATGCTGTGAAGGGGGAGTCACGGGGAAAGTTGCTGGCCTGAGGCACTTTTCATGTGCTGGGAAGTAACCGTGGGGCACAGCCAGGTACACTGGGGCTTAGACGTCCCCTTGCTGCTCCATTTACAGGGTGAGAGCCCAGGGGAGGCCAAGTGAAGGGACGTGCTGCTGCATGACAGTGACTGCCAAAGGTTCAGCTCCTGGTTGCCACCAGGAGCTGGTGGCAGTGACTGGTGGGGCAATCCTCAGCGCAGGGACAGTCACACGCCTCTTAGCTGCCTGCACTAAGCTTGGCAGGGAAGTGCTCGCTGTTCTCCACATGTCGCTGCGGCAGTAGGAGCAGGGCAGCACATTCTTCTTGTCATTGCTTCAGATTTGATCCATCCTGAGATTAGTGGCAGGCAAACCCAGCCACGGCTCCTGCCAGTGTCGGTTCAGGCCAAGGCCGGTCACGACAACGTGACAGAAGAAACCTTGGCTTATGGCAATGGCTGCTGCTTGCTCACATCTCCACTGCTGCAGCGGGGTTGCCCATGCGAGACTCAGCAGCCATCTTGGTGACCGCACTGGGGCCTGACTGGCATGAACTTCCCTCTGTGAGGGGCCCTGGGGGTCCCTCAGCCACCACAGCTGGGTTTGCTCAGGTGGGAGATCCCTTTGATGTGGCTCGGGCAAGAGGAGTCAATAACATCAAAGCCACCGTTCAGCAGCCAGCGCTGCCGCAGCCTCACTTCAGTTCATTTGGGCTGCCACCCACCCTGGCACATCCAGATCTTTCCACCGTGCCATATGTACAACACTAGCTGGGGACTTAAGCGATCTGCTAAAGCAGTCATGGAAAAAGGGACGAGGAAAGGGAAAAGGGAATAAAATGGGATTATTTTGGCACGTCTCTCGGCTTTGACAGGATTGGAGGCTGACTGTCAGGCGTGCACATCTGGGAGTTGTAAGGGGGCAGTGGGGGTGTCCTGGTGATGGGCCCAGAACAGGCCGGAACAGAGCAGGCTGCAGGGCTGCATTTGCGGAAGCATCTTCACGGTGCCATTTTTGTACAGCTTAGTAATATCAGCTTCTAACTGGCATTTTGTCTCGGCCCATCCTCCCAAGCTGCTGGCTGGATTTTCAGACTGGGAGGTTAGGAAGCGAGTATGAATATTTTGCAAGCACTCCCTCGTGTGGAACTGGGCAGCGGGACACAGCGAGCAGCCCAGGAATGGGGAGGGGAAGCTGTAACCAGAAGCCTCACTCCTTCCTCTCAGTCCAACAGAGCCCCGTCTACCTGCGGGGTGACAAGCAGGGGTGTCTGGTTGCAGAATTAAAGAATCCGACGGGAGTTTGTTTTTCATTACTCACTTCTTGGATCACCCACAGGCACTTGGTAGAATGAGCAGCCCCTTCCCCAGAGCAAGCCAGGTTCTGGCAGAGGGCACATGGGCTGAGCAGAGGCTCCGACTTCCTCCAGGCCGCTCCTTTCCAAGGTTAGTTCAGCACTAACACCAACACAAGCACATTCTTATGAACCAAGTGCATGTATTCAGCCTGCCAAATCTCACCAGGCCGGCAGTGGTGAGG